GGTTGTCCAGGTGGTTGTAGCTTTGGGCCAAAATTGATCCAAAAAAAAGCCAAAAAAGCAGGAAAATGGGTTCCCGCTCAGAAGGAAAATGCTGTGCCAGAAAAAAAAAAGGGAGAAGCTCTTACGCCCGCCTGGCCTGCTCGGTGGGGTCCAGGTTGTCCAGGTGGTTGTAGCTTTGGGCGGTGTCCGCGGGGTTCCTGTCCGCCGGGCGCCACGGCCGGAGCTCCCTGGTGGTCCCCACGGAACGTTTCCCCTCGGGGCCGCGGCGTTTTCCCGGCTGCGCCTCGGCCACGACGAGCTGGGCCTTGGCCGGGGTCTGAGCGGGGAGGTGGAGAGGAGAAAACGAGTTTGGAAATGGGATTGGCAATCGGCGGTGGAGCGGTGCTCATTAGGGGTTGAGCTCCAAATTGGGGCTCGGCGAGGAAGCCGAGCCCCGAAATGCGTCCGGAAGGAGTGAGCCGCTGGTGGGATGCCGCGGCTTCTCCCCGCCGCCTCCCGAGAGCCTGATTGAAAATTAAAATTTAAATTTAAGGGTTGAAAGTTGCTTTTAATTAAAGGGGATGAGGAGGATCTCGAAAAGATCACGAGGCTGAGGGGATGGGAGCAAGATCCTCCCAGTTCTCCCAGTGGAGGAGCTGAGGTTGAGGCAGAGTTAGAGAAACAAAGCTGGGATTTATTAGTTTTAATTAATTGGGTTTAATTGATTGGTTTTAACTGATTGTTTTTAAGGATGTCCTTGTGCAGCACAAGCGCCCGGCCAAGGATGGACGACGGGTCGCTGTCGGATTGAGCCTTTTTCCAACCCAAAAATGGGGCAAAAAGAGGCGTTTTTAGAACTTTTATTCCATTTTCAGTCCCACGCGACGGCGGCGGGGACAACGCGGACGTTATAATCCACGCCATCACAATCAGAAGCCAATTATTTCCTAATTAAAATTCATTCTAAGCGTCTCTTGACCTATCAACTTTTATGACGCCAGAATTACCTCAAAAGCAATCACCTAAAATTACCTTTCGTGGGTCCTCCAACGCTTCTTTCGTAGTTTTATTTCTCTGGAGGTCTCATTTGCGAGGCCGTCCTTTGAAATTTGGTTTTTAATTCCATTTCTCCCTCAGCGACACCCGTCCTATTCCAAAGGCCACTTAGAAATTCAGGATTTAGAAACGGCACCTCGAAATTTAGAATTTGGAAATGTAGAATTTAGAAATGTAGAATTTAGAGGTTTTTTTATCTCCAGGTTTGCACGCAGATGCAGACGACGCGAGCCTTCTGCCAGGCTTGGAGAATTCTCTACAAATCCATTTCCCACGGGTTGCAAGTTTTGATGAAGTTTTATAAAAGTTTTGGGTCATTTGCATATCGGGGGTTAATTATTCAATCACAACCTCCCACTTTGCTCCCATCAATTCGAGGTTGTTTAAACTTTTTTGGGGCCTGAAGCTGGAAAAAAAATTTGTTTTGTCTGGTTGAACTGTGAGGAGAACCTGCTAACATTGAGTTAAACGCTGCTGAGAATTTTAATTAAATTAATTAATTAATTGAATTAATTGAATTTCCCTGCTGAAAGGCACAGACCCACAAGAGAACAATTTGTTTGACCTGAGAGCGAGGAGGAATTTTCCGAAACGGAAGGGTGGAGCCGGGATTGTGGGTGTGGGGTTTAAATGGGAATATCCACGGCGGGAAATTCGGAGTTTAAGGGGTTAGAATATAGTCCTAGCTGTGAATATAGAAATTTTAATATAGTCATAGATATTAATAGAGTCATTTTAATATAGTCATAGATATTAATAGAGTCATTTTAATATAGTCATGTCTGTGAATATAGTAATTTTAATATAGTCATAGATATTAACATAGTAATATTAATACAGAAATATCTATTAATTTAGTAATTTTAATATAGTAATATCTGTGAATATAGTAATTTTAATATAGTCATAGCTGTGAATATAGAAATTTTAATATAATAATAGATATTAATAGAGTAATTTTAATATAGTCATAGCTGTGAATATAGAAATTTTAATATAGTCATAGATATTAATAGAGTAATTTTAATATAGTCATGTCTGTGAATATAGTAATTTTAATATAGTAATAGATATTAACATAGTAATATTAATACAGAAATATCTATGAATATAGAAATTTTAATATAGTAATATCTGTGAATATAGTAATTTTAATATAGTCATAGATATTAATATAGAAATTTTAATATAGTCATAGCTATGAATATAGTAATTTTAATATAGTAATAGATATTAATAGAGTAATTTTAATATAGTCATAGCTGTGAATATAGAAATTTTAATATAGTAATAGCTATTAACCTAGTAATATTAATACAGAAATATCTATGAATATAGAAATTTTAATATAGTCATAGCTATGAATGTAGTAATGTTAATAGAGTAATATCTATTAATATAGTAATATGAATACAGTAATATCTATAAATATAGTAATATCATATTAATATAATAATACTATGAATATAGTAATATCTATGAATGCAGTAATATCTATCCATATAGTCATATTTATGAATATAGTAATATCATATGAATATAGTAATATCCATTAATATAGTAATATCTGTGAATGTAGTAATATCTATCATTATAGTAATATAATATTAATATAGCATTGCTATTAATATAGAAATATTTATGAATATAGTAATGTCATATTAATATAGTAATTTCTGTGAATATAGTAATATGTGAATACAGTAATATCTATGAATGTAGTAATATCATATTAATGCAGTAATATGATATGAATATAGTAATGTTGTATGAATATAGTAATATATTAGTAATATATGAATATAGTAATATATTCATATAGTAATATCTATGAATATAGTAATATTTATTAATATAGTATTATTATATTAATATAGTAATATCCATGAATATAGAAATATATGAATAAAGTAATATTTAGGAATATAGTAATATCTATGAATATAGTAATATCATATGAATATAGTAATAACATAAGAATATAGTAACATCTATGAATATAGTAATATAATATGAATACAGTAATATCTATAAATGTAGTAATGTCTATGAATATAGTAATATGATATGAATATAGTAATATATATGAATG